TCTGACCTCGCGGCTCGCGCCATGCTACTTCCATCGATAGGATGAGCAACATCCAATGAATCGGAGTGCTGTATCTTCCCGGCCTTGCGCTGTGGCGCCACAGGAGCGCTGTATCTTCCCGGCCTTGCGCTGCGGATTCGGATCCGCCACAGGGAAAAAAACAAGCATGCACAGAAAACAAAAAAGGGAGCGCTGTATCTTGCCGGCCTTGCGCTGCGGATTTGGATCCGCCACAGGCCGCCACAGGAAAAAAAAATCAGGCGCTGTATCTTCCCGGCCTTGCCATGCAGATTCCGGTCCGCACAATTCGCAAAAAAATTGATCGCGACCTCGCACCGGTTGGGAAAACCTCAAGTGCGGGAGCGGTCCCGCGTGGCAGCGCCCGGTTTCTGTTGGGTCCGTCACGCAAGACCCGCTTCTTGCTTTATAGTATTACAAGTGGATGCCTGCCGCGACTGCGGCGGGGAGCAAGAGCAGGGGGGGGTAAAAAAAAAAACTCACGTCCGCGGGGTCTCTCTCTCTCTCTCTCTCTCTCTCTCTCTCTCTCTCTCTCTCACACACACACACACACACACACACACACACACACACACGATGCTTCCAGCTTCCCGGCACGTCGGTCCACGGTTGCCCACGCAGCTCCTCCCAACAGCCGAGAGAGAGAGAGGCCGGGCAGCGGGCGGGGTAAAGGGGTGAGGGAAACGGGCGTGACGGCAAGCGGGGGGTCAGCAGGCGCAAACACTACAGCTGCGCGTTTTAGTGTGTTCGGATTCAATGCACAAAAGACAAAAAAAATATGGACACTTACCTGTTCTCTCTCCGTCTCTCAGTCTCTCAGTCTCTCTCTCTCTCTCTCTCTCTCTCACACACACACACACACACACACAAAAAAAAAAAAAAAAAAAAAAAAAAAAAAAAGGTGGCAATGTGTATTTCCATGCTCTAGCGGAAGATTCATTCCGATTTTGCTCATCCTATCGATGGAAGTAGCCTGCCCAGATCTCTCTGCGTGCATGGCTGGACAGCAGTGTATATTTCCATATTCTAGTGGAAGATTCATTCCGATTTTGCTTATCCCATCGATGGAAGTAGCCTTTCTTTAACTCTCCGCGAGGTCTGCGTGCATGACTGGAAAACACTCTCTCTCTCTCTCTCTCTCTCTCTCTCTCTCTCTCTCTCTCTCTCTCTCTCTCTCTCTCTCTCTCTCTCTCTCTCTCTCTCTCTTAACCTATCGCATGGAAGTAGCTTCTATCTATCTGTCTGCGTGCATGGCTGGAAAACTCTCTCTCTCTCTCTCTCTCTCTCTCTCTCTCTCTCTC